AGACTGGAATTTAGCAAAAGGCAGCCAGAATATAAAGTAAATTAGGAAAATAGCATTACTTTACTTGTACCAGAATTGCAAAATAATAACAACAACAGTAATAATAATAATGATAATAATGGCTTTATGAAAGAAATCCCTATTTCTGAATGATGGAATATTTCTATATTTCCTTTCTAGTTTATGGCCATGAATACCTTTGTTAGGTCCAGAATCATCAACGGACACAGATCCTTTTTAAATGCAAACTTTTCAGAAGCTGGAACCAAAGATCTGATGGGCTCAAGTAGCAAAATCCAAGTCAATTGTCAATGTCTCAGGAGATTTAACATTGGATGAGTCAACTGGGAGGAAAGAAAGGCAAAACTGCATCAGAGAATGAACAGTACGCACAGAATGGTCAATCTAGTCAGGGCTTTTTGTTGAGTCAAGGTATGAGAGGGGCATACTCTGGAGAGAAAAAATTATAATAAAATGGCTTGATTGTCTTTAAATAGATCACTACACATGGTTGCAAAACCCTAATCCAAATTAAGTCAACAATGCTGCCATGAGAATGTGCATGTGCATGGAATGGGGAATCTCTACAGCTTTTAGCAACATCTTTACCAAGATTGGACAAAGTAACAAAGATATTAAAATCTCCAAGCAATGGCATCTGAATAATTGGCTCCACCAGAGACCAAAGCCACAAGGACAATTCTTTGACAAACTGACTATTAAAATCAGGTGATCAATATTTTATTAAAAGGAAAATGGAAATTTCAACTCAAATGTTAGGCATTCAAGAGAAATATTGGGAACTTCTGAAGGCAAATATGAAAATTTGCAAGCCTGTTCAATAGTAACACCAAGTTGCCATCCTGTCCTGATAGTCCAGGAACCTCTGCTAGTTGGAATTCATCTTGAAAAAGAGCTACAAGAGACACCGTCTTATCAGGGTGTAACCAAGTTTCAGTGTTAGCAGCAAATAAAATAGACTGCTCGTTGAAATAATGAGATAAAAGTAGATTCTTAATAATTGAGCAGGCATCCCATAACAAACGGTGAAACTGAACTTTAACAGATAAATCAGAACACATTTAAATGAATAATAAAGTATTTCACTGAACAGTGGATGACTGCATCCAACTTTCTATAATTACCAATCAGACAATAACCCACTAGGTTGGGGAACAGGAAAATACAGGATTTCATGTTATTTCCAACAACCACTCTGATAAGTGTAAAGCAAAGGCAACAAAACCAACCTTACTTTAACAATATGAAGCTCAATAAAACCACCAGAATTAAGTTCATACACTTCAATGGTTAAAAAAGTAACTAATGCAAGTATAATACAAATACTGAGCCAGGAAGCAGACAAAACAGCTTTAAAGAGATGCATAAAGACACAACTACTTTAATAAGCCAACTCCTTAAAGCTCACACAGAGGGGTTCAGCAGATCCAAAAATGTCCTCCAACATGTTCTACCACCAGCAGGAAATTACAGCACTAGTTCTGGAATAAGAGGCCTTCAAAGAAAATGTGGTACACCGTTGACACAGCAGCATTCTGTCTGATCTGAAATGCCCTTAGCCAGTCATCAGCAGCATTGGTCTAGGGCAGTGTTCTTCAAACTTGGCAACTTTAAGATGTGTGGGCTGGTGGGGAATTCTGGGAGTTGATGTCCACACATCTTAAAGTTGCCAGGCTTGAAAAACACTATTCTAGGGCATTGTTTCTTGACCTCAGCAACTAAGATATGTGGACTCCAACTCAAAGAATTCCCCAGGCAACATATTTCCTGTACATTTTGAAGGCATTCTTCAAAACATTCTTTTTTTCAGATCCATTCAGTTTCTCAAGTCAAACAAATATCCTACCCAGGAATGAAGAGGGGATGCTGGTAGACCTCTCTTCAAACATTACACTGAAAGTTGAAAACAGCTGTCCAACCACTCCAAAAAGAGCTTTTGAATGAAAGTTCACAGAATATATAAGATTTTCAGTGAAGAAGTACTGAAGGCCCTACCTTGTTTTTCAACATGAAAGTGAATTTTCAGTGAAAGTGGATTTTCAGCACCCATTATAACCAAGACAAATAAAGTACCTGAATAGGCTGAATGTAATGTTTTGCTAGCTCTAAGGCTTTCTATCATAATACTCACTCCAGACATTAAAGAAGTATATCATCATATGCAAGAGCATACTTCCCATTAAGATAACTGATGTATTGATATGTAAAGAAAAATAAAGAATATGATTAAAACATGAATTCACTATTTCTCTTACCCCTCTCTCCCCCATTTTTAAAGAAACAATGGGCTGTTTATTAAAAAGTACTGGCATTTGGTGTTTTGTGGACCTGGGAAGTTTAATACTGGTTTATGGTATCTTTTAAGAGGCTAATATACAGTTATTTCGGTTGCAACTAACATAGCTCGAAATCATTAGTCAATAAGTTATAATTTCTGAGCAAGTAAATCAGAGAATGATTTGGTGAAAATATCATATAACTGTACATCTTACTTGCCAGCAGACCACTGTGCCTACTTTGTAAAGATTGCTTTGTAAAGGAAGTGACTCAGACTGATAGACTGAACAGGAGGTGCTTATGGAAGCAAGTGTTATGCTTTCATGTGCCTGCTCTTGATTCTCATTTTACAGATAATCCTCACCTAATGACCACAACTGGGATCAGAATGTTGGTTGTTGAGTGAAGCGGTCATTAAGCGAGACACCCATGTGAGTACTTTGCTCAACAACCACAATCCAGGCACTCCCAGTTGTGGTTGTTAAGCAATCTCCTGGATCATTAAGTGGACAGAACGAAAGAGCTGCCTGCAAGACGGCTTCAGCTCAGCACAGAGCTGAAATCCTCCTGGCAGGCAACCCCTTTGCTCTCAAATGTTCCTAAAGCCGGCTGAAGGGTTTTCCCTCCCTTCAGTGGACGGAGAGGAAATCCCTCCTGGGGCTGGAGGAATGGAGCTGAAATCTTCAGGATTTGAGCTCCATTCCTTCCCACTGCCAAGGGGTTTCCCTTCCCCACTCAGAGTTGAATATTTCAGCTCCTTTCCTTCACAACACTGAGTGGGAGGAGAAACCTCTCGGTGCTGGGAAGGAATGGAGCTCAAATCCTGAAGATTTCAGCTCCATTCCATCACACAGCTGAGTGGGAGGGGAAACCCAACGTTGAACGGCAGTGTGTAGGAACAGAGCTCAAATCCTGAAGATTTCAGCTCCGTTCCTTCCTACTGCTGAGGGGTTTCCCCTCCCCTCCATGAACGGAGGGGAAATCCTTGGTGGGGCTAGAGGAAC